AATCTATAGAATTTGATATCAGATATTTTCTTAAAATTTCAGTTTTTATAATATTGATTATTCTTACAATTACTCTTTTAAGTATTAATATATGGCTCATGCATATAATAAGTTCACTTTGTTAAAAGTCAAAGCTTTTAACATCATTATATCAAATTTTATATATTACTAATATTGTATCATACTCTTAATAACATGAAAGATGACTAGAAAAAATAAGACAAATCTAATTAAAATCAGAAGTACATTTACTTTAGAAAGATAATATTTGAAATGTATGTGTTCTTGATAATATTAACTTTAAAAGATAATCTTTTAGTTTTGGAAATATATATAATACTACTTGTATAACTGAATATATAAGTTTATATATGATTTTTTAATTTATATTACCAGCTCTAATTAATAAAATTCTTTTAGAAATATTATAAGAAAAATAATATTTATTAAAAATTGGTTTTTCAGATTTTACAACAAAAGAACTTGCAGATTTTAAACAAATTTTTTATAAATTATCAGCACTTAATAAAGTAGAAGTTAATATAGATAAAGTATATAAAAAACTAGTAAATAATATAAAATCAGAATAAAAAATATCAGTATCAAATGTCATTATTTTGAAGTCAGGCAGTAATCCATGTTCAGAAGAAGCAGTTCATAATGCTTATAGTATATTTTTTAATGATATAGGAAAAAATACTAATTGAAATGACAAACTTGATATAGTTGTAAATGAAGTTATTTTTTGATATTTAATTTTTTATCATAAAAAACAATCAAATACAAAAATTCTTTTAGGAGCTTGGCATACAAATAAAGAAATATATTTAATTTTAATTGAAATATTTTCTGATTATAGAATTTTTAATCTAACAGCACATCTTGGAGTACATTTCTTAGATAAATTAGAGAAAGTTGTTAATTATGTAGCAACTTGTTATGTATTAGAACTCATATAAATTGCAGTTGGACTTGCATTAAGTAAAATTATTAGTAATAATTTTACAATACTAAAAAATAATAATAATTAAATAGTTAAAGTTTGACTTCTTTATTTTAAATAGGATAGTTATTAGATAGGACATAAAATTAGAATTTGATATAAATATTATCAAATGCAACTTCAAAATTTAGTTAGATTTGTATTACTTTTTGCTGTGACTGGCAAAAAATAATTATTCATATTCAGTTACTTATTTTTTATACTATTTATTAAAAGATCCAGAATTACGTACAATCTGATTCAAAAAAAACTAGAAATTTTTATTCATTACTATGCCATGATCATTACATTAAATCATGTAAAAATTTTTTTATTTGATATTTAGAAATAGATAAATTTATTTAAACAAAATTAATATAAAATACATTCTCCATTATTCTCTATAATTAGCTTATATTATCTCTTTATTAATCATACTAATTCAATTAAAGTAGATTTTAGAATTTTCTCTCATTCTTCTCTCATATACTGTTCTAACTCATTAATATTTTTTGGCATTCTTTTTTCTATGTTTCCCTTGATAATCCTCCATAAGTTTTCTATTAGATTTAAATCTGGATTATTCAATAGCCAGTCTATAACTTTGGACATATTTTCTAAAAGAAAGAATTTTGCTAAGCGACTTATATACTTGAGGTTATTATTCTGTTAGAAATACCATCAACTTTCAAGTATCCTCCTCATCTTTGGTAAATATTTATTTAAAATTTCAATATAAAATTTTACATCCATGATCTGTTTAAAACAGAATAAACTTATCTTTTTCTTAATACAAAAATCCCTTATATAAGAATTTTTATTTGGCTTTTAGATATATAATGAATCAGTTATTTTCTCTTATACTATCATTTCACAGTATTTCAGTAGAGTTTAAATGCTGTTTTGTTAGTAAAAAAAGTTTGATCCTAATTATTATTAAGATGAGCTTTTATCTACAAAATCCATTTTTTCTTATGTGCTTTGGTAAGCATAGCAGTAGCTTGTGGCTAACTTTTTAAATATTCAAGATTATTCAAATGTTTTTTAATAGTTTGATGTAATACTTATATATCTATTTCTAATATTTTTGTGGTCAAATTTCTTGTTGAGAGAGAGATATTCCTACAAATATATTGTCCTAGTCTTCTTGCAGATTGCCTATCAATTCTTTTCAGTCATCTATTTTTATCTATATATTTTGTAGATCCAGTTTTTTTGAGTTTTTTTATATTATCATATATTATTAAGAAAGAGAATTTTGTTTGTGCATGAATTTTTTTTGCATCACATATATCATTATTTCATAATTGTAATAGAATATCTCATTGTTTCTTTTTTGCTTCAGCTGACATATCAAAGAATATTCCTATAAATATAAAAAGGTTTGATAAAAAAAAAGATTATTAACATAAAACAAATTTCTTGGTTTTTCTTTTTGTATTAGAAGATCTTAAATGAACTTCAATTAGATGATTAACAAATATTTTTGTGAAATAAAAAAATTCTGGTTTTTTTAGATCAGATTGTATATTATTACAATATATTTCATCTGTAAATTTGACAAGAAAGAGATATTTTTTTGCATTTGACGAAGCTCTTAAACATTTTGGTGTTAAATATGTTAAAGAAAATATTATATATCACTTAGGAGATGAAGAAAAATTAAAGTCACAAATAAATTCAATACAAACTGAAAGAGAATGTTTAGATTTGCTCTTACATGAATATGTTAGAGATGATATTATAATTCCTAATGATCATAAATCAATATCTTGACATGATGTTATGCATAGTTTAAAACATCAATTAATTCAAGTATTTACTCAACAAGAAGATTTTAATATACATGAAAATTTTCAAAATACATCAGAATATACAGAAAAAGGCTTTAATAATTTATTTACTTGTTATATAATATTGGCATTGAGAGGCTAAATAATATTCATTCTCAAGAATTATCAAAAATATTCCTTATATTAGACAAAAAATGTAAAAACTAATACAATTTATTAACAAAAAAAATCAGAAAAAATTCACAAAAATATAAAAAGACAATTGCATTTATTTAAAAAAGAGAATTCTGAAAATAATACTATTAAGAACAATAATCAAGAATCTGAAAGCACAAAAAGAAAATGAAAATATTTAACAAAATCAGAAAGTGAGATTTTTCAAAGATTGATTGAACTTGATACATTATCTCAAGAAGAAACATCAAAAGTACTTATAGAAATTTGCACATTACCTGATACTAAGCCAGAGGATTGGGATATAAAAAGAATTTGTAGTATTTGGCTTAGAAAAAGGTTAGCAAAGAAAAAAAAAGACTGTGCTAATATTAATAACGATAATGATACAATAATATAATTCACTATTTTTTATTACACTTTACAATTTTTATATTATTCAATATATTTTAATTAAGCTTTTGCAATTTTTCTTTCAAATTTTTTTTTGAAATGAAATCTGTTTTTATTTTATAAAACAAAATAAGTTTTAAGAAAATTATGTAGAAATAAAATTTGTAATCTATTTTATTTTTAAATTTTTTAGTAATAAAATTTGAGAATGATATTTAACTATTTATTATTTTTACTATCGATAATTTAAAGCTAATAAACTATTCAATATTTTATCTCTTGGCTGACTTAAAGTCTACATGATTTGAGTTTTAAATTTTATCTTATGGAACCACAATATTATACATATATATGTATTTAAACTCAGAACATAAATAATGAAAACATTTAATAAAAGTTTACTACATGTATAATATACAGATATTATTGATTATAACTCATAAAATGCGAATTTTCAAGAATACACTAAGAAAATTATGTAATTACTGCTACATTTATTATGCTCAAAAAATTCTTTTTTCATAGAATTTTTCGTTTTAAAAATTCTCATAATCTTTTGATTTATTAACGTTAATGTTAATATTAATAATAATAACGATAACTTTGTTTTCTAATATCGATATTGATATCAAGATCAGTTAACGTTAAAAATTTATCTTTGTAACACAATATATCACTATTTTTAATGATAACGTATTTGTATTTATAAATCAATACACCGACTTTAAAAAGAAGATCGTTTCAAGGTTTTTCTTGTTACAGCATTAATATTTAAAATACAAATAGAGCATATCTATAATTACTCTTTTTCTTAGAACGCTAAAATGGTTTGTCTTTAAAAATAACATAAATGAAACAGACAAAGTGAATAAAATTCAGCTCTTTCATATATAAAAACATTCCATGTCGGTTGTCGATCATATAGTAAAAAAATTACATGTATCAATAGAGAGACATGTCCTCTGTACGATATGAAACATAAAATATTGCATTTTTTATTTTTTTATTCGTGTGATGCAAAACTTTTGGCAGCCACTGTATGTAATAATCCTATATAAATGAGGTCAATGCAATTTATTAATTAAGAAAATTATAAGAATTACTAAAAAAAAGGACTCATTTCAAACACCCGATACTCCAAAAATCCACAGATTTATTATATCCAACTCGATTTAAAATTTCTGGTGGTATTACAAGAATCGTATGTATTAAATTACTATTATATTAATAATATATTAAGATGATTGAAGTTGTAAGGAACAAAATTTACCGACGTAACCTGGAGAACCACAACAAGTAGTTAGAATATCATCATCATCTTTCATGAATTTTGCATTTCTAAACATCTAGCAAAAAATGAATTACTATATTTTTAAATTCATTGATATTATAATTTGCTGCATTTATCAATACCAAGCACAAGAGTGGAATCAGGTGCTCGACTCTTATATAATAAATTCTCTGGTTTTAAATCTAATATCATAATAATAAATATCTTTCAAAAGGGTAAATAACAATCAATCAAGAATTACACATAATAATTACCACGGTGTGCGATATGACTCGCGTGAAGATATGCTATTGCGTAAGTTCTGTTTTTATAACTTCTACGGCATCAGCTTCGGTAAATTTTCCGCGATCACACATATGATCAAATAATTCACCACCTGTTGCGCTTTTTAATTATAAGTAGATTATATATAAATGCACGACCAATTAATGAAACAGTCTTCTTCTTGATACTTTACATCACGCTTTTGAATTATTTTGATGGCGACCTTTTCGTTTGTTTTAATTACCATGGCTTCCTTAACTGACCCATAAGTTACTGTGTCTAATTTTTAGATTTATTCAAGTTTAATGAATGATATTGACAAAATCTCGTTTCGTAAAAGAATAATAGTAAAATGAATATGAATAAAAAATACCTAGAGTATCTCCTAGCTTATTCTTTCTCTATTTAATTTACTTAATATTATTACATTTTTTATACGAAAATCTATATAAAATCTAAATAAAATGTTTAAAATAGAAAATAAATACCTTGCAGTTTTCGATGAAGCGCGTGATCTATTAAAATTACCTAGATTCAGAGATTAAATCACAAAATTTTAGTTCAGTTTTAACAACCCGTGTGATGTGTAGATGTGTAAGATGTCTAGTCAAATCATGTGGCAATGACTTAACGCATTAATTGACTTGATGCACAATTTCATTTCCGTTACACATTGATCTTGCGATTTGGTTGGTTTACAACCTAAAAATCACAGGATCCGTACATTTTTTTCATCATGGCTAATCATGCAACGGACCCCTTCTTTTATCATAACCACACAAAAGCAGTACTAATCTTCTTGAGTAGGACATCGGCTCTAGGATTATTTTTTAATCCTAACGGCTCGTTGATTAGTATTCTTTTCAAATTTCTATTTCTAATATACATCTAATAGCTTTTTGGAATTCCAACGTGACGCATTTATAAACTAGGTATATCATTTCTTTATTGTTTAGAGATAATGGGATATACACATCCCTACAATATATTCCCAGAAATAACAAGAATGAAAGTATCATTTTTGCTATTTCCAGTAAATATGTTGTAGGGATGTGTATGAGGATTAAAGATGGCGAAGTTTAAACTATGTTCAAAGCATTGCTAATTTTAATTAGAATTTAAACTAATAATTTTTTATAATTATTTCGATAGGACAAATATCATCATCAATTCTTTTGATTTGTGGCTCCATAAATAATTTTGATTTTTTTATTCCAAAGAAGATACCCCTTCTTTGGAGGAATATTATATGGTTTTTATTGGGTTTCCACATTCATCGATTAAATCTTTAACAAAGATTTATTGGTGACGTTTTCAGGGATATTTGACGATATAAATCCTTAATCGATTACCTTGAGAAAGTAATCGTGATAACTTTTCTTAGTTATCGGTCCGAAGACTTATCAGACCTAAAATGAGAGTCCTTTGTTCTCTGATGAATCAATCAGTGATCATCGTACTGCTTTGGTTATTTCGGCACAAAGGATAATTTTTATTCTAATAATCACTCCGGCCATGAGGTTTGATATCATGGGTTATATACAATTGGTCCGGAGCGTCCTCATATCATTTGATGGAATGAATCAATCCATCGTATTGCTTTGGTCATTTCGGCACAAAGGATTTTTGGTTATAGCTGTATTAATTCCTAAATAACCATCTTTTTCTAAAAAACCCAATATTATTTTTTTGGATCGCAAATTTGGAACAAACCTCCTCGTGGTACGATCTGGATATCATTGAATTGATAACTAAATAAGTTCAATAGTAAAAGTAAATACCATGAAACAATCATGCATTTAGAGAACTTACGGTAATGTCCAATATCCGATAACTACATCCGACATCCCAAACAATTGTACATGTATTTTATTTGCTGTAAAAACGTACCACCTTTTCCTTTTTAGGTTGAACGAATCAGATCCCGGGGTGATTTGTACGTTACAAATTTCTGTCTTACAAAACGTGAATTAATTACGTAATGATACACACACACGCACATAGAATTTGAATCACTACATACCGATACATGTACATGGGTCCCGTAACTGTACAACGACAACGATAATCGTTTATTTTATTATCAATTAACCAATTCACGCATTTATTCCACTGAACTCAAAGATGGCATTAAATACTCATCTTTGTAGGAAATGTTGGTTTTGTCGAAATAATTACTACTGCGACGAGTGTTTAATTCACAATACTCACGATTGTAGTAAATGTTTTAATTGTCAAAGCAATCAGGATTGCAGAGAATGTTTCAAATATCACAAAAGAATTTATAATGATAAATTGTCTAGCGGAGATAAAGATATCGACAATCTAATAAAAGAATGAAACAAAATTAATTATAAATATCCAAATATATTCGAATGGATTCCTTTTGAAAGATTTACCAACGTTCAATATCTTGAAAAAGGAGGTTTTGTGACATTTTATCAAGCAACCTGGTTGGATAGACCATCGAATCTCTATTCCAAATGGGATCATAAAAAAAATAAATTTAAACGAGATGGAGAAGCAAAAATTATGTTGAAGAGTTAATAAACGAGGTAAGAAAATGTTTTCTAAAATGAAAATTAATTTTTATTTTCTAATAGAATCAATTCTTTAAAAATAAATTCATGAATGCTATAATTACGGCAACTTGATAGCATATTATGGAATAACTAAAAACCCAGTTACAAATGATTATTTGATAGTAATACATTCATTCTTTGGTGAACTTCACAAATATAAAGTGTACGCAAAGATAGGGTCAAATACTCATCATTGTAATGAATGTACTGATTGTCAAGAGAAGAGATACTGCTATGAGTGTTTAGTTCACAATACTCATGATTGTAGTAAATGTACTGAATGTCAACAAAATTATCGCTTCGTTGACTGTTTCAAATATCACAAACGAATTTATCATGATATAATGCCTAGCGGGGATAAAGATATCGACAATCTAATAAAAGAATGCAACAAAATTAATTATAAATATAAAAATATATTCGAATGGGTTCCTTTTAAAAGACTTACCAACGTTGAATATCTTACAGAAGGAGGTTTTGGGACAATTTATAAAGCAACCTGGTTGGATGGACCATTATATTCTCGGAGTCATGAAGAAAATAAATTTAAACAAGAAAAGTTGTGTTGAAATCATTACACAATTCAAACCAAATTACTCCAACGTTTATAGCAGAGGTAAAGATAAACATTTTTAAAAGTGAAAGCTGCTTTTTTGTTTCTAATACAATCAAATTTTTAGAAAATAGATCCAGGCTACTCTTAAATGATATCGTGATAATTACGACGATATTATTGATTACGGAATAACACAAAACCCAGTTACAAATGAATATTTGATAGCGATGGAATTGCATGATTGTAGTAAATGTACTAGATGTCGATGGAATGAATATTGCGATGAGTGTTTAGCTCACAATACTCATGATTATAGTAAATGTAATACATGTCAAAATGGGGATGACTGTTCAAACGAATTTATGATGAATTTTCTAGCGGAAATAATGATATCGACAATCTAATAAAAGAATGTAGCAAAATTAATTATGAATATCCAAACATATACCTTTTGAAAGATTTACAAACGTTGAATATCTTGCAAAAGGAGGTTTTGGATTAATTTATAAAACAACCTGGTTGGATGGACCATTATATTCTTGGAGTCATGAAGAAAATAAATTTAAGCAAGATGGAGAAAGAAAGTTGTGTCGAAATCATTACATAATTCAAAGCAAATTACCTCAGAATTTAAAAACGAGGTAAAAAAATGAACATCTTCTAAAGTGAAATTTACTTTTTGTTTCTGATGCAGTTTTTTCAAAATTAGATTGAGGCTGCTCTTAAATGCTCTAGTCTTATTGATTATTATGGAATAACCAAAAACTTGGCTACAAATGAATGCTTAATAGTGATGACTTATGCCAAAGATGGGGAGCTTGCGATTTGGTTGGTTTACAACATAAAAATCACGAAATTTGTAATATTTTTTCACCATGGCTAGGATTTTATAATCATGCAACGGACCCCTTCTTTAATCATAACCACACGAAAGTACTAATCTTCTTGAGTAGGACATCGGCTCTAGGATTATTTTAATCCTAATGGCTCGTTGATTAATATCCTTTTCAAATTTTCTATTTCTAATATACATCTAATTCCAACGTGACGCGTTTATAAGCTAGGTATATTATTTCTTTATTGTTTTGAGATAATGGGATATACACATCCCTACAATATATTCCCAGAAATAACAAGAATGAAAGTATCATTTTTGTTATTTCCAGTAATATACTGTAAGGATGTGTATGAGGATTAAAGATGGCGAAGTTTAAACTATGTTCAAAGCATTGTTATTTTTAATTAGAATTTAAACTAATCATTTTTTATAATTATTTTGATAGGACAAATACAGTATCATCATCAATTCTTTTGATTTGTAGTTCCATAAATAATTTTGATTTTTTTATTCCAAAGAAGATACCCTTCTTTGGAGGAATATTATATGGGTTTCCACATTCATCGATTAAATTTTAACAAAGATATATTGGTGACGTTTTCAGGGATATTTGATGATATAAATCCTTAATCGATTATCTTGACATATGAGAGTAATCGTGATAACTTTCTTAGTTATCGGTCCGAAGACTTATCAGACCTAAAATGAGAGTCCTTTGTTCTCTGATGAATCAATCAGTGATC